TATATATATATATATATATATGTATATATATATATATATATATATATATATATGTATATATATTGTGCTTCGATAAAACTGGAAGCATCCATTTTGCTCAACACGTTGTGCTTGAATTCAGCATACTTTTAATTCGCTGAAAAATATGGCGACCGCTAAGTAAACATGTTGCGCCGCTGAATGCGTTAAGTACCGTTCAGCAGAAAATCTTAAAACAATTGTGCAACCGTTGTGTCCTGCTGAACGCAGCCAATGTCGATTTGCCTATCAGCCTCTGAGCGCTGTAACATCAATTCATCAACAATTTCTACGTAGAATCCAAATAGCAGACTCACGTCAAAATAACGTCCAAATCTGATCAGTTTATGACCAAAAATGACCAAGGTATGAAAAATGTGAAAATATCATCAAAATGACAGTCTAATATCACAGACCGATAACGACATTTTAAGACGACTTAATGATGTTTTAATAACATCTTTAAACATCAATAATACGTCATTGTTAAGAGAAAAGTCTGTTCTATCAACTTGTTGACAGAAACGTTATTAACACGTCACAAAAAAAATATTTTAAAGACGTCGTTATTTAGTCACTTGTCAATCGATCAGTTATGATCAGTTTTTGACGTCATTTTGACGTGAGTCTGCTACTTGGAAAGCCTGCAAACCTGTATGATTGCAAAATTGCCCAAATCCTCGACCTTGTCAATCATTACACTAAATATGTCAAGGAAATGGAGATATGTACATCTTTTAACCGAAATAGTTATTTTATGACCGTTGGCTAGTGATAAAATATTTAGAAACTCCTCCGCCATTGGTATAGGTAACCCCATATATTCATACCAACGATCTATTATGTCATTAACATATTTCTGTTCGAATATAATTAATTCTCCAGTATTGTCCTGCACAGCGAGAGAAAATATTTTTTAAGTCATACATATAATATATATGATAACCTAAAGGGAAAGGTCAATACTCGAGAAGGTCATGATATATCGGTTATTTTAAGACAAAGCTCGGCATTCGTTACACATTTCCACCGATTTTTGACTTGCCCCACCTAGTGCTATTTCTTATCTCATCGTCCCGTGCACAACCTATGACTGAGGTGTGACTTGTGAACATATGTTTCTAATAGCTTTTTATTATTATAAATATATATTTAAAAGTCATATGCTTCTGAGACTCAAACAACTCGCAGCTTGCGATTCTCGTACAGTACGATCAAATAAGAGGAGAATAGCGCTAGACGGATCAAGTCGAAAATCAGTCGAAATGTGCAACGCGTGCCGAGTTTTGTTCTAAGAAGAAAAATTTATAAACATATATCCTACTTCTTCTTCTATGTTTACGGGGAATGAAGCTACAGCGCCTAACATATCCTATTCTAAAAACAGTTTCTGATATAACTTTAAACAAACACTGACAAAATTATTGATAAGAAGGAAATAATATACATGATGTTTCGCGCGCATATATATTGACAACCTAAAATATTTCTGTTATGTTTGATGATATAAAGAAACGTACCTAAAAAAAAAGTAATATTGTTTGAGGGAAAAATTATGATAATAGGAAAATGTTTTTTCACGACTATTTTTTCAGAGATTTCAAAGTCAAGGACATTTTTATGGAACATTACATTTTTGTTTGGACGATCTTATAGCCGACATCGAATGAAATTCAACAACTTATAACAACGTGATCTTCTCTGCGATTTTTTTTTTTTATTTTTTCAACGCTATTCGATAGAGCGACATCGAAATTGGTAGAAATGGTACTCTTTATAAACAACAAACTTCCGTAGTAAAATAAATGGCTCAAATCAATGTAAAATTTCAGCACATTTGGACGTTAATGGATTAAAATGTTGACGACGGAATTTTTGAAAATTTATTATATGCTGTAGAAAAATGTTTATACGAACAATAATTATTAGAAACCGTACTACAGAGTATACTACCGTATACAGGACATTTGATACATCTTGACCATATCTGAAACATTTTTGTTGTGTTTGTCAAAAGGCACAATTTTTTTATTTTTTTGTTTTTTCTCAAACATATATATTTGCCATGTCAAGAATTATCTTCGATGTTGCTCTACCGAATAGCGTTGAGAAAATTAAAAAAAAATCGCAATTTATGCAAAATTTTTGCAAAATAAAATTTAAAAACGCATGTTTTTAGGGTTAATTTTTTCTTCTTCCTATTATTCTTTCTATTTTTTCTTCTTCCTATTATTATGTAATTACTATGTAAATTACTATGTAATTTTGTAGTAATGTTGATCCTAAAACAATTTCGATAATCAAATATAAACAAAAATTCGAATTAAGCGCTTCAAATCGACCGTCATTTTGGTATTGCCATATTTGTTGAAAAAAATACACATGGCATATTTTTTAAGTTTTAAGTGTTGGGAACACGTTTTAGACATTTTTCCGATACTAACACGTTTTTATGGAGAAAACAACGGAAGAAGAAAAAATTAGCCCTAAAAATAAGCGTTTTTTAATTCTATTTTGCAAAAATTTTGCATAAATTGCAATTATTTTTTAATTTTCTTAATGCTGTTCGATAGAGTGACATCGAAATTGGTAGGAATGATACTCTTTATAAACAATAGACCTCATTTTCGTAGTAAAATAAATGGCTCAAATCAATGTAAAATTTCAGCACATTTGGGCATTAATGGGTTAATGCACTTTGTAAATCGTGTAAAAACATGGCGTGTTATTTATCTTTGAGTTTATCTATAAGTTTTTCTCATGTGAGTATCTCTATTATACATTCTTACATGAGTTGCAAAGTAAATTGCTATTGCCGGTATATTTTTTTTTTAATTTATCATGAATTGTAACAAATATTTTACATAGAAAGTAAATATTATAAAATTAATAAAAAATAATGTTTTTTTCTTATCAGTAATTTTACAACTGTATATTTAAATAGCTCTATCTCGGTAAACATCTGAAAAAGACATTGGTTAATGCAAACTTTTCTTAGAGTAACAAATATTGTGATTTCGTAAAATTTTGACTTTTTTTTTTGGAATACTATGCGTAATAATATAAAGTAATTTAAAGAATTTCTTTAAAAACACTACAATATGCGCCTTTCTCCTCAGTTGGAAAAATATCACAAATGCACAGATAATATAAAATATCATAAGGACAAGTTAAATAAGAAAATTGCACCAATACTCACTTCGTATTTTCGCAACACTAAACCTTCAGACAAATTCGTATGAAAGTAGACATCAATATGATTTCTCTTGAAAATAGATTTCCCAAAATTAGAACATATATCCTTTAGGTTCGACATCATTTCGTCCATATTGCGAATCTTTAACATTATTTCCAGTTGACGCATTTTAATATTTGAAATTGCTTACTAAAATTAACACTCGATATATTACTGTTGATCTACAAAGAAAAAAATAAATTTTCGCAAAACTCTCTCGAACTATATTCTTTACCTTATCTTATATTGTATAATTCAATAAAAATAATTTCTGCCAAATTCGAAAACTAACCTTCAACGTTACGTATCGTAATTTTAAATTGTAGATAAAACCTCTCGCGTGGGGATTAGACGCGAAATATAATGCGCGATAAATTCTTAGATACTGTTTCTATATGTAAGGAAAGAAACGCGTGTTTATGTAGCACGTAATAATATCTAAGAAGTTTAATCAAAATCGATAAATACAATTTGTTGTCTGTCAAAATGACATTCTCAAGAAAATAGAGGTTAACGATATTCTTTGAAATACAAACGCGGTTTCTTAACTATATTATTATCATAATTGCGGACAATAGCGGAGATTTATCAATTTTATAATTTATATTGTAATAGCGATAGTGCGATATGCTAATTTAATTAAATCAAATCGAGCAAAATCATGGCTTAAAATATCAATATAATCAATTAAACAGCACATAATTCAAAAAATTCTTTGTAAATTGATTACATCTTAAAACAACATAACAAAAAAAAGTAACAGTAAGTAAATAGTATATTTTTCTCAGCGTGAAAATAATATATATACATTCTATATTATAAATATGTCAATTTTACATAAAATTTGGCTCAAAATAATGTCGGCGTTAAAGTTTTTATGTTACATTTTAATATAATAATTGTATTATTTTTTAACATCTTCGCCTTGTGTTAAATTAACACAAAAATTTGAGTAGATCATTTGGGGCATGTGAAATGTATAAAATTTAACGCAAAATTCTTACTATATAATTGATATGAGTGAAGGGAATCACACTGATCATTCGTAATTATTTAGATTAACAGATATCCCGCCGATGACCTTAACCTTCACATATATTGTCAAGGATACGTCTATGAGTAACATTTGAAAAGTTCTAGCCAACGGTTATTGTCTCCATAAAAAAGTTATAAACAAAGATCTTTAGAAAACATGATAGTTAACGTTAATACAGAAGAATATACTTTGTTGATATTTACTGTCATTACACATGTACTATTGTTAAACGTTTCTACACATTTCATATGATTTTTTATTTATGCTATATATATATATATATATATATATATATATCAGAAAGGACGCTATAGCTACTTACAATGGTTAATAGCTACTTTGATGGTTAATAACTTTTTAATAAACAGAGACTTCCAACTGATAATTTTTGGAAGTTACTCAGAATCATATCCTTGATAAGATATATCAAGGTCAACTGAAACTTGATGAAATAGTACAACTACAAAAATGGATAAAAGGACATATGTCATTCGATACCTGTGAACGATATCACGTAGAAGAAAAAAACGTGAAAATATATATTACACATCAAATATTTCTTACACTATGACTTTCACTAACATTAAAAGTTTTTAATTAAAAATCACGCATAAAAATGAGACACTATTAGATCAAACCATTTTATAAGCAGCAGACTTGATTATTAATCAATCGAATAGCTTTCTATTTTTTGTTTTGTTTTAATACAGTAAAAAGATTCCAATTTTGCCCAACTTTCATATAACAATAACTCTTAATAACTGCAGGAAAGGTGTTACATCTTAGTTGGGATCCTAAGTAGTTTTATTCTTGAGTTAGTAGATAAAACGAACATAATTGTATAATATAACTGCTCGAAAACTGCATTAAACCAGTAAACACAAATTACAAAGTAACCATAAGTAAACACAAAGTATCAGTAAGATAACATCGATGTTATAATGTCAGTTCAATCAATTCAATAGTATATTATGTAACTGTTTCATGTTATGTATATGTTATATAATATACCATATGATACCATATGAGCTAACATTATAACATCGATGTTATCTTACTGATACTTGGTGTTTATCGGGAAATTTCTACCAAAGTTAGTTGATTAAATTACGGCGGATTGACGACAGGGACTGAACAGGACCCGTTTCGCCAGCATTTAAATACTTTTGAATGGCATATAATATAGATCCTACTCGATTTCTATTATCAACATGCTATCAAGTAGTATCAGCAGACATATCTGTCGATAAAACACGGATTTAATGGCTATGAATTTTCTGCCGCATTCTAATCGAATGTGCTATCCATTTTCCCGATTAAGACGTTACATATTGGGCAATTGCCGAGAAATAAAAGCCGGATGTAAGAATGCAAATTCCTTGATAAAGATTTATTGTCAGTCCTTACGTTTCAATGTCTCAATTATTTTTATTGTTCACACTGATCATCTCTTATCTCAAACAACTTTCTTATATCGTGCTGTCCCTCCAGATTTGTCCATCGACGACTATAATTATAGACGAAACCTTTTTCCTGAAAAAGCGATCGCTATTTCAGAAACTGGGAGAAAGCCTTCCAAATTCAATAACTCGGTCTTACCATCCGCGATTGCTAATGTAACGTTAGATATACGCTCGCGAGACATATGTCGCAAGACCGGTATCGGGGATTTACGATTTGCAGTAGATAGACGTAAAGCGCATGTGACGAAAGTACGAAAGAGCCGTCAAGTTGGAGTTTGTTGGCGTTATCAACCGTCCGCGATAAGCGACAGCTCGTATCCCTAATCACTGGTGGACGACGGGGGTAGATGCGTAGATTGCTTGATAAAGATTTCCTTATTCGTTTTCACGCTTAGATATCTTCAGTTACGTTCTCGGTTGTTGCCGATAACGGGCGCGCACGCGAATTCCGCTCGCGGAAAGTATCGCAAACAAGCATAACGCGTGTCAGCTTGAAAGAAAATCTGGTGAGGTGCGAGTCGAGCTCAATCGAATAACTAGTCGCGAATCTCGCTGCTAATCAGACGGCACGAAAAAAAATTTTTTAAATATTAGAAAGATCTGAGAGACGTTTTAAAAACAAATGGAGTCTTTTAAGCCTGTATTAAAGTTATTACTTGAAACTCATCTTAAGTGAGATACTGAGATTAGAACTCAAAATTAGATAAGTGTTTTCCAATTAAATCACGGGTACAGATATAAATAATACACATTATAATTTAACTGAAAATTTCGAGAATAATCTAACTTTTTAAAATAAAAATCTAAGTATTTGAAATAAAACTCTTTTTAGATAACCTATTAATGTAGGTCTTACTAAGAATCATTATCGTACAAATATAAATGATACACATCATAATTTAACTGAAAATTCTGGATCTAACTTTTTTTTAATAAAAAATCTGAGTATCTGAAATAGAACCCTTTTTAAATGACAACTATTAATACAAGTCTTACTAAGAGTCATTATCGGAAACTAATCTAAAATACTCAAATGAATTTAAAATTAAATGTAAGTTTTTCAATTAAATGTCGATTGCAAATGTAATGTTGTGCATATTATGTGATTCGAAAGAAAACTCATATATAATTCTAAATTCAGATTTGAGTATCTTATGTGGGATAAGTTTCAAGTAACAATTATTAATACGGACCTAAGACGTTTTTTAAGCCCGCATTAATACACTATAAAGAAAAATCGATTGGAACAACTAGAATCGAATTGAACAAACTCAATTTCTGGGTACGGCGAACTAATTGCTTCAATTTTTCCACCATAATTTTAATATTCCTGTAATCTTTTATTTGTATTAAACGAGCTAAGTATTCAGCAAAATTGATCAACCATGGTGTTGATTTGATCTGAAAAATAATGGTAACTAAATGAGTTCTCAAATGTAGTAACGAATAAAAAGTTTAATTCAATCTTTCTCCGGAGTTGAATAAGCTACATACAGTATTAAAGAGATCATAATGTAATATTTCATGAAATTCTTCCTCTATATGATATGTACCGTAATAGATCGTTAATTTAAACAGTGTCTGTTCCGTTTATTATTCAAAAAAAATTAACGATTTTAACTTAACAATAAAGTTTCAATTTAACAATATGATAATTGAATATCGAGCATGCTAGAAGCCAAAAAACTTGAAGAAAATGGACCTCTCAAAAACAATTAGTTCTCGGGCAGTATTCATATCATATAAAACTTCAAGTAGTGACACTTTACTGGCTTATATTACTCTGCGAATAGAATATATCAGCAAGCGAACAAAATAGCCAGCGCAACCTATCGATAGCTGCTGAATCCGAACACTGTTCATATTGTAACTTATTCAATAATCTTGGGAAACCTATCATAATAATCTTCTAGTTGAATAAATCTTGCAAACACGTCCAATTACCAAAGACATTAGCTCAATATACTTAACTTCTGATTTACCTTCCGTCCAGAGAATAGAACTACTTATATTATTTAGATACAGTTAGATTGAACCTTTCTATTGGTTGAAAGAATACTTGAACGTTCGTGTAACTACGTTTCAGGTTTTATGAACCTTTTACTTTTAACTAAATTGTTTTATTGAAATTCCTGTATCACATTACTAACAGACTTAATTTTTATTCGATTTAATTCGATTGCAGTTGATGCAATCTTTACTCAACTCAGAGACTTGGTTCGTTTCAACCGATCTTTGTAATTTACTTGAAATTTATCTTATATGAGATACTCAAATCTGAATTTCAAATTATATCAGAGTTTTCCACTTAAATCATATCCCTGATATTATATTTCTAATCGCGATTCAATTAAAAATCTAGCTCTAAGTCCTGTATTAAAAGTTGTGTCACTTGAAATCTGTTTTATGTGAAATACTTAGATTTTTAGTCAGATCCAAGTTTTTAGTTAAATTAAAAAATATATATATGAGATTTATATCTGTAATCGCAGTTTAACTGAAAAACTTTCATCTAACTTTGAATTCAAATCTGAATATTTAATTTGAAATAAGTTTAAAATAATAACTATTAATACGGGCCTAAATCTCATATTAATAATCGTTATTTGAAACTTGTCTCAATATATTCAGATCTAGATCTAGAAATTTAGAGTTATATTTAAACTTTTTAATTGAATCATTTATCATTATATAAATATGATGTCACGTATGATATACGTCATCGAAATATGATGTCAAATACGATACGCGATGATATATATCGTATTTATATGATGCTGATTCAAAGTTAAAACATTCGCTCTAAATCTAATTCTAAATTTAAGTATCTAATGCCCGTTTTTACTCATTTTAGTTAATTTAATAGGCAGGTTATTCTAACGGAATTAACCAGTCACATCTGTTAATTCTGACAAAGAGAAATGCAATCGGTCAATTCCATTGGAATAGCCAGCTGATTAAGTTTAATCAAAGTTGGTAGAAACGGGTATTAGATTTGTATTAATAGTCGTTACTTAAAGTTTGTCTCATGAGACAAACTACTTAGATTTTCACTCAGAATTAGATCCAAGTTTTTCAGTTGAATTATATGATACATATGACGTTATATCTGCAATCGCGATTCAACTGAAAAATTCAACTCTTATTTCACTCTGAATTCAGATTCGAGTATCTCATTTGAAAGAAGTTTCAAATAACGACTATCAATACGGGTCTAAGTAACTCACCTGAGATAAGTTTCAAATAATGACTATTAATACAAGTCTAAATTCTCATTTAAATATCTCACTTGAAACTTGCTTCAAACGAGACACTTAAATTTGCACTTAGAGCTAGATGTGAATTTTTTAATCATGATAACAAATGTAATATCAACATATATTATATCAGAACTCGGCACGCATTGCACATTCCGACCGATTGTGAACTTACTTCGCCTAACACTATTCCCTTTATCTCACCTGAGCCACTCAAGACTCAGGAGCATGTGACTTATAATTGCGAGTAATTATTTTGTAAATTAATTATCGTGTTTAATTGGTAATTAATATGAGCTAATTCAATTGAAGATCATTTAATTGACAACTGATATAAGTTAATATGAGTTAAAGATTGTTCTGTTAAAAATTGAATTTACAAAAGGATGATCAACCTTTAATATCCTGGATTTAGCAGATTTTTAAATATGTCAATATAGCAATTCCATCTCTCTAATAAAGCCTAATGTAACTCTCAATGTCAATGTATAATAGTTTACGAGAAATAGTAGATTAAAATTTTTAATAGTCACTTTAGTAGAAGTAAAACTTAAATAACATATGTGAATCAGCGAGTAAGAAGTGCGACTAAAACGCTGAACGTCATGCGTTCTCTATTCTTATTTTTTCTTTATTCTTTTTCTTTTCTTTTTTAGATGTATACAATAAATTATTAATATATTAATTAGACAACTATATCCCAAAATTATTAATTTAATCAGATTTGCTATAATCAGATTTAACTATAATTCCAGAATTATTAATTTAATCAGATTTGCCAAATTCAATTATTCATTGAATTATTTTTGATTCCCTTCGCTCATATCAATTGTTAATTGAATTTAACTGAATTCGTTAAAATCAATCGTCAAACATTCTTTGGTTGATTTTACTTAAATCAATTACTAATTAGTTAAATTAAAACATATTTGTTTAAATTATTATATTAAGAAAAATTTAATTAATATTTTTACAACACTCTGTTGTAAACATAACATATATTTCTAATAATTTCTCACTATTAGAAACATACATTTACAAGTCATACGCTCCTGAGTCTCGAGCAGCTTAAAGGTTGCGCGCGGGGCGATGAGGTAAATAAAATAAGCAGAACAAATCGGTCGAAATGTGTAACGAACTCGTACCAAGCTCTGTATTATACAATTCAAATAAAACTCATCTCTAACTATAACTTCAAATCTGAGCATCTTACATGAAACAAGTTTCAAGTAACACTTAATACAGACTTTGGACATTTGATATTTGTGAGCACATTCAAATACCATAATTGAGCGGCATGCGATTACAACAAAGAATATATTGCATTCATTTTTATTGAGTTTTTATTGGGATATTATTGGGTTCGTTTCGTCCACTCTTGAAGAATTCGCGTTCACTCGTTATCGCGTACCACCTTGATATTTGCATGTGTACGCGATGATAATTTATCTTTTCCATAGACAAATATTCGGTACACTTCGCAAATTTATTTGCGGTACCTTCCGCGCGAACGGTTACGTAAGTGTTAACAAAGAAATGCTAAAGGAAAATAAAGAAAGTAACAATCCGTCCATGTAAAAGATATCTAGCAGACGATAATGAAAATACGATAAATACAGTGACTTGTGCATTTATCAGTTATTCCTCTTTATCATACGAGTGCAAAAATAAAGAAGGGGAAAAACGCTCGAGACTAGACAGCGATACAAGTTAACTTTCATTGTTAAGGTCACGCTGCAAATATCATCGTAACATCACGTAAAATGGTAAGACAACATTATGTGTGCATGTAAGTTTTTCCGAGCAACGTGATGTCTCGTTTCAATAAGTGGCACTTCATCTTATCGTCCAGACACTTGTTTACCGAAATTCTGAAAACGCAAGCTTCTAGCTCGACTTGACGATATCCGAACTCACGCGAGACTTATGCTGCAATGCTAAGCAAATATACGAGTAAATCGTAAAATTATAAAGTCGTAGCTTACGAAAAAAAATCGTAGATATTTACGAGTTACCACATGACATACGGTCCGCATAGAATTGCAAATCTACTCATAAGTTTTTACGAGTCTTACGACTCGTACGTCTTACGAGTTACGAGTTTTACGATTTTGTCTAGAATTGCAGTATTATTCTCGTAGAAGAAAGTCTAAAAGGGCGTCTACATTGGAAGTAAGCAGTAAGAAGTAGGAAGTAAAAATAAGAAATTGACCAATCATAGTTGATTATTCTTCTCACATTCTACTGTTGGTCAATTTCTTACTCTTACTTCTTACTTCTTACTACTTACTTCCAATGTAGACGTCCCTTAAGGACCGATTGTTCCAATTTCTTGGAACTTCATGGTAAATTACTTGACAGTTCATACTGATATCATACGTCTGTCTTCATTTTTTTCAAATTAGATAGAGACAGACGTATAATTTAACTGTCAACCAGCTTACCAAGAAGTTGGAACAATCGGTCCTAAGAAGGAGCATCTCAAACGTGTAATAATGCGACGATGTCGCCATAAACCGGAATCGTCGAACGAAACTGGCATATACCTATAAATGAGAGAAGTTAAGTCGAAGCCGCGTTTAACAATCGCGACCTTTGTCGGAGGTGCAAATTCTGCCTACGTGTATAGGCAACGACGATCATTAACACCTGCCAACTTAATCGACGTTTAGTTCTATGATGCTCGAGCATCGTGAGCGTTCTCGCTCGACCGTGCGTTTAAAAAATTTATCGGTGAAAATAAGAACGCAATGAAAGTAAAAATACAATGTGGATTTGTACGAAGAGAGGGGTGACACGGTGTTCAAATCGTGAACGCATCGAGTACTTTTGCCTATTGGTGAGTGAAATGTACGACGTGGAAAATCAGCGATTTAATAATTGCACAATTAACTGCTTAAAATACAATTGTACGATTTCCATCGAGTCGGTCTACTCGTACATCTCATTGTTATTTCGTGACACACGTCGTCGTCGTCGTCGTGCTTCTGTGAACGACCATCATATTCGTGTCTCTCTAAATTCCTTGAAATGAAATTCCACTTAAAAATGAGGAGCGACACTCGAGTAATTCGAATTCGTGCACTGAGAGAAATTATCCAATAAAAAATTAACAAACGAATATTTCTGATAAAAATATTGATGAATTTTTGTATCCAATCAAGAAACATCCAATGAGAAATATTGGTTCATAATTTTAGATCAATTTATCTAATGAAATGCCATTATGATCGGAAATATCCGATTAAATTTAATCGGATATCTTGATCGGACATAAAAATTGATCAGAATTTGATCGGAAATATCCGTTTGTTAATTTTTAATCGGATAATTTCTCTCAGTGTGCAGTTTCTCATTCACATGTAGAATAAATTCTAAACTCTAAACTCTGCATCATTTGATGCGAGTGGATGTCTTTACTAAAAAATTCAACAATGAATCTGATATATTACATATGTGTCTGTGTGCGTATATATATACGAAAAGAAATATATTCTAAATAATTCTAACATTTAAGCCTTCGTATGGAATTCACCATCGAATCAGAATCAGAATCCATTTAACCCTTTATTTGGCAATGTTGTTCTAACCTTACTCTTAAATAATATCGATTTCTTATGAGCTACATACAACAACGATAGATGCAAACGTATTTATTTAGTACTGTTACTCTGGAGCAACATTTCATTATGTTCTATTCATCGGTATTCAGTAGTTTCGATCTTCGCTATTAGATTTATGCATATTTATTATAAGTAAAAAAATATTTTAGAAACATATAACCGCGTTCAAGAAATAAATATCATTTAAACTTCATTTAAACGCTGAAAATTTGTTTCTTAAATTTTGTAAAGTCCGCCAAATGAAGGATTAAACTTGATTGAAATATTCATTCTTACGATTTTGAATGACAATATATTCATTATCTTGAATAAATTGTCACTCGTTTTGAATAAGATTACACTGACATAAATTTTAAGAACACTTTTTAAGGACCCCGCACAAAACCTATGGAAAATGGTTTTCGGTCAAATTGGCTGAAATTTCACTATGTTATAGTTTTCGCCATGCTGATAAAAAGTTATCATTGCACCAAGTCCCAAAAGTCAATATTTCCCAAAATATAAAGGGTCAAAATAGTGAATTATGGTAATCCGCAGTAATAAGACGTATGTTATAAGTATAAGTGATACATTGATATTTATTCACAAAATAAATAAAAATCGATTTATATATATATATATATATA